TGGCGGCGGCGGCGGCGCGGGGGCCGCCGGCGGCTCGGACTTCGGTTGCAGCGCCGCGGCTCCTCGCTCCGAGAGCGGCTTCCTGCCCTACTCAGCCGCCGTGCTTAGCAAGACCGCCGTGAGCCCGCCGGACCAGAGGGACGAGGCACCGCTCACCAGATAACTACGTCGCCGCCGCCAGGGGGCCGTGCCCGGGGGTCCCCTGAGCGCCCCCGCGCCCTCCGCGCGCTTACGTGCCCTCTGCGCGCTGCCCGCTGCCAAAGCTGCCGCCAGGGGGCGCCCCGGCGCGGGAGGCCGAAGGGAACTTGCCCCGACCGAATTGGGGGAAAGAGCCGCGCAAAAAACCCGGCGGTGTGCCCTCAAATGATTTCTATTTTTGTATTGGCTACCCAGCAGCATCTTTTCCTCTAAGTGTTTCCCACCGCCCATGCCCCGTTTCCCGCCTCTGTCCGGAGCTCTTGGTCTTCCCGAAGACAATCCCCTCGCCCTCAAACTGGTCCTCAGAGGTCTGGGGTCCTGGCTGTAAGCCCTCCTGAACCACGTGGCCAGAAGCAACGGAGAGCCACAACAAAGAGAGGGGGGAATGCTGTGCGCTAGTGCTTTGTGCGGAAGGGCAAGTCGCCCCCGAGGTTCCTGCGGCTGCTCTTTTTCTTCCATGCTCTCTTTTCTTTACACGAGGGTGAGGGGAGGTGGCAATTTTTCTCTCAGCCTGAGCTTGTTAGGGGCCCTGTCCGCGGGGAGCGGAGGAAGGGAGGTCTGAGAAGGCCAGGAGGGCGGACGGAGAGCGCGGGCGGCTGCGGGTGTTCGTGAGATGGTTTACCGCGTGCGGGAGCAAGGCCGGCGGGGGCCCTGGCGGTCTTTCCTGCCCGGGGAAGGGCAAAGCCGAGGCAGGAAGGAGTGGTGGTCTCGCTTCCCCTCTCGGCCCTCCGCTGTTCTCTCTTTTGATCTTTTGGTGTGGGATGCCGGCGTCTTGCATATTTTAAGCAAAAAGCAATGGCTAATAAGGGTGCCACAGCCTGGCCAGAAAAGGAAAGAGAAACGAAAGAATGGGGAGGGGTAAGATTGACAGATCGTTGTAATGTTTGAAGAAGCGTTTCCAGCTCAGTTTTCCAACTACCGGGTTCCACTCGATCTGGGAAATACTTGAATCTCTAGATATATATTATCCTGAAGCATTTCCTTAGACACTTTTCTAAGTTCGAACTCGATTCCCCTCACTCCTTCCCCTCCTCGTTTTCCTTTTGCTCGGGCAAAATGGTTCTTGGCATCTTTCTCACGCATGTCTATTGCGCTTTCGCCTCTGCAAAGCCACGGATGGGTTGCTGAGACCCATTCTGCCAACCCCGGCTACTGGAGGGGTTTCCTTGAACTTGAAGAAAGGCACATCAAAACCCACCAGTGTTAACTGCCACGTCAATTTTGATGCTAATAATGTGCAGATTATGACGAAAATTGCCAATCATGCTCTCTGATGGACCTCCTTTGAATGTGGAATTGGAGAAAAGTTCCCCGCACGGAGACCTGCTGTCAAGTACTAACAACCCGCTAAGGGAAGTCATTAGGAGAGACGGATAAGAGACTCGGTACATAAAACATTGTTCTTGGTGCATAGAATGTATGTTACTTAATGTTATCTCTGTTACCTGAAGTGATTTCGCAGAAGAAAGCCACGTTCTTATCATCTCAATTGCCAATTTTCATTTTGGTAACTCGGACGCCCTGGGTAGACTTTTCTCTGTTAAGTTGATATTCCACCAATGTGAACAGCCTCATTAAATCAAGCCCAGATATTTCCATAATGCTCCCCGCAGAGCCACTTCGCTCCTCACATAATGAGATTTTCTGAAGAGTTGAAGCCCTAAAATAACTTGCTAGTGCATGTTTAGACCCAATGAAGTGGGTATGTGTGTGTATTAAAATGTAGGTGTGCTACCTACATATCCTTGTGTATATATGTATGTATATATGTATATGTATGTATATACATATATATCCATTCTCTTAAGCACATACATATGTAAGAGATGCGCACACATTCATATATACCCATTGGCACTATTTTCTGTGATTTATTTCAAATTCGTGTTCTGACATTTTTGTTATTTTAAAGACACTGGATTTTAAAAATTCATTTCCTAAAAATAGGCTTTCAGGAAACTTTTGAGAAAATTCATTTTCCAGGAGAATTTATTGTTTTCATCAAATGGAAAATATTTCAAGGGGAAACAGTGTTTCAAAACTCCTGGGGTCTATTAAAATATTCCCGTAAAATATTAGAGAACTTCCTAATGAAATAGAAATGATCTACAGCTCAACTTTTTGTTTTCTTTTTTCTTTAAAGAGATGAGACTACTTATGTTAAATATTGATTATGCCAGCTGTTACTGAGTTTACATTAAAATATTAATATATAATTTAAGGCTAAATAAAATAAACCAAAATATGGTACCCTTTTATCAGCTTTACCTTTATAGATTGTTAAAGTCCTTTCTTACGATCAGCTATCAGATGTATATAAGGTACTCTAGGCAATAATGTTTACATTTCCCCCCAAAATATATATGATTGATGAGAATGCTGGTTGGTAAAATGAACATAAATTCATCTTATGTTAGGTCCGTTGGATCTGGTTATTATATTAAAATAAAACTGTAAATAAAGTCTCCGTGCTTTAAATATTGCTGGCTGTATGAACTCACTGTAAGATATTTTACAAATGTGCAATAATTATAAAGCTTTGTATATTACATTATTTATTGTGTTTGGTCATGTAAAATAAATGTTATTTAAATCAAA